GCACCTGCTTCTGACTCCGGCCCGCCTCTCTGACCGGAGCGCTCGCTTCGGTCTCCAGCCCACCTCCGGACGGCGTCTCCGACCAGAAGGCCTGGCTAAGCACCGCTTTTGACTCCGACCCGCGTCTCCGACCGAGGATGCACCAAACCTCTGCTCACTACTCTTCTCCGACTGGCGTGATCAGAGCCGACTGGAACCAACCGACCGGGGACGCCCGCTCGGTAAGGACCAGGTAACGGACGGAGAAAGTAAGGCAGGGCGCATAAGTCAAACTGCAATACTAGGGACCATACCCTGTACACCTGCAGAAACAGTACTCTACGACCTCTCTGGCACGACAGAACCCAAGCAGCATTGTAGGCGCCGAAATTTTCCCCTACAGTATTGTGGTCATCAGGTTCAAACCACAAGCACACGCTTGAACACTTAGCTCTTAGCGGGGCTCCCATCACTCTCCGCCCTTTCAACCAGAGTCCGACCGGACCTCTTGTACCCCCCATCTTTCTACTTTTCGTTTGTAACCCCACTTTAAACTTCTAGCACCTAGGCTCAGGAATAAAATCATCAACCGACTCAAACTGGATGTAGGGCATGTTGTCTGAACCAGTATAAACCCTGTCTCATTGAGTGCTAGGCCACCTCCGATCACAACGTACGGCAAAACTATAAATATTTACGTGTTGGTCACTTTCTGCACCGACATTAAGTTTGAAATTTAAATCTCTGATAAATCTTATACCAAGATGGTCAATTTTTTAGAGAGTAGATAAGGATCAAGAAATGCTCCTGAACTAATAGAATGTATTATATTATTATGTTTCCACTGCAATGATGTTGATAATCTTCTAATTAAATTCGAACCAACGGGAGAATTTAATTTTGAAGAGTAGTTATATGTCTTTAAAGTTAATTTATGAGTTTTGTGCATTAATTCTATTTTCTGCCCAATGATAATGTAGAATTGATGCAGAAGCATCTTGTAAGTTTTATTTTTTAACCGACGAAATCACTCGGCTGCATGCCAATGGGCTGCAATGCTGGGTTATGTGAATGAAAAGGCTTGAGTCAAGCCAGTTCAGGACAGTTGTTTGTTAGTTTGCTAATTTTCTGATTAAATTAGAACCAACGGGAAGATTTAATTGGAAAATGAAGTATAAGTGAATGTTTTAGTCATCATGACTAAATTTTTTGTTACGGTAATTTGTATATAGATTTATCCCGCATGGGGAGAAGTTTGGCATAGTACTTATGCTAGTCAATCCTACATGACGGGAGAAGTTTTATGATGATTCATATGTTTTTGTATCCCGCATAGCAAGAGAAGTTTGGGTAGCTCTTATGCTATCCTAGTATTGACGATGGCACAACAGAAATGCACCGTCATGGTCAATACTAATCAAAGGACAAGAAAAAGATGCAAGCGTGACTTGCAAAAGTACAGTTAATAAAAGACCTCGTCGAGTTCTTGAAGTGGAATGAGGAAAGTGTACTCCTATACGGATCAAGAAATAACTTTATTTGCATGGCATAATCATGTGAATGAAGTAAGTCATAAGTGTCTCCTCGTTCACAATTTTCTGAATAGTTCTCGAAATTATGGCAGTATAGTTCATGCCATATTTTGAGGGGGAGGATTGTGAGATGAATTAAGAGTAAGAATTAAGATCAATTAAGAAACTACTCTTCATTAAGAGTGAGATAAAGATGTTGATGAATGTGTACTCTTCATTAAGAGTGAGATACATATTTTGTAAGAAACTGAGTGAGATAAAGATTTTGATGAATGTGACCGTCGGTCATAACAATGAAACCCTTAAGCAGAGAAACAGCTAAATTCCTAAATTTTTTAAAGTTCCGAGAGGAAGATAGCGTAGTCACCATCAAAGATATTAAAGCGGTGCTTAAAGCACCATATAAGGTTTTAACAGATTGAACCCAAATAAGAAATTAGAAGATACACTATCTTTATAAAAGATGGGACGATCTAGGGGAGCATGATATGTAGAGACCTATGACTTGAAGAGAAACAGGACTGCATGCCCACTTCAGTGATACAAAATAACGAATTTCTCGATACCTGTTGATGTTGTATGACTTATACAACACCTGTTGTTGGCTCTTCGAAAAAGATAAATAATGTAAACAAGGATCTTGTGATACAGGAGCCTATAGAATCAATTGCCTCTTGACAATGAAGAGCAACAACAGCCCCACATGAAAGTGCCAATAGCTGAGGCCCCAGAAGGTCTCAAAGAATTAGTAAACTAGTTTTCTGATGACTATGAAGTCTATGTTAGTGATGAAATTCAAATGGAGGGTGATCCCACCTCATTTGAAGAAGCCATGAGAAGCGTTTACTCGTTTGAATGGCAAGAAGATATGGAAGTTGAAATAAATTCGATGAATACCAACGATGTTTGGGACTTAGAAGAAATTCCTAATGGAGCCAAAACAGTAGGCTGTGAAAAGGGTCTACAAGACAAAATGTGACTTCAAAGGAAATGTGGAAAGATATAAAGCATGACTTATAGCAAAAGGCTTTACGCAAAGAGAATGAATAGATTACGATGAGAGTTTTCTCTCCAGTCTCATGCAAGGATTCTTTTAGAATCATAATGGTGTTATTTGCACATTACGATTTAGAGTTACATCAAATGGATGTAAAGACGGCATTCCTCAACGGGGATTTGTATGAAAACATTTACATGGCACAACTCAAAGTTTTGTCGTGGAAGAAAAAGAACGTATGAGATGCCGCCTGTAGAAATCCATTTATGGGTTAAAACAAGTCTCTAGACAGTAATATCTAAAGTTGATGAAACGATAAGAAAGTTTGGGTTTAAATAAAATGAGAAGGACAATAGCGTTTATGCGAAGTTCTAGAATGGAAAATTCTCTTTCCACATCCTACATATAGATGACATCCTACTCACTAGTAGTAATGTTAATCTGCCATTGGAGAAGAAGTCTTTGTCCTCAAGTTTCAATGTGAATGATCTTGGTGAAGCCTCATTGGTTTTAGGAATTGAAATTCACCGAGATAGATGAAAAGGGGTATTAGGACTATCGCAAAGGCATACTTAAAAAAGATTCTAAAGAAATAAAGTATGCATGCGAGTAAACCTACGCCTGCTCCTATAGTTAAGGGTAATAGATTTGGGAACTTTCAGTGTTCCAGAAACCGATATGAGATCGATCAAATGAACATGGTTCCATATGCTTCATCTGTTGGAAGCTTAATGAATGTACATGTAAGAACTTACCCTGACGTAGCTTAAGTATCCGAGATATTTTAGAAGAAGTCCAGTCTATATATAGATCACTGGAATGGAGTTAAGAATGTCTTGCAATTTTTGCAAAGTATCATAGGCCTCATGCTGAGTAAAAAAGAACAAGTACTCTCAAATAGTTGTGGGTACAAATGTTAAGTTTTGGTGAGATGTGTAGTGAAATCCACAGTAGTTGCTAATACTCATAGTTGGAGTATTATTGTGGAAAAGCTCCAATAAAACAGTTATGGTGTCATCAATGATGCATAACATAGTATAGCTTATCATGAGGCTTCAGGAACGGGTAAAAGGAGGTTAAGGGAATTTGTACCCGGATTTAACAATGGTAGTCAACATCAATAACTATTTAAAGTAGTTAATTCCTAAGACAACAGGTCAAGTGTGCTGCCAAACACATTGACATTAAGTTATATGTTGTAAAGGAGAAAATCTAGAATCATTTTAAAAGCATCGAGCATATGAGTACCAAGCAAGTACTTGTGGATCCGCTTACCAAAGGCTAACCACCCAGTACGTTCAGAGAACACACAGTCGACATGGTTTTACGGGAAAGCATATGATTTCTGGATACTAAGGGCCTAGTTGAGAATCTGTTTCAAAACAGAGAGGTGCATTACAGCTGTTAAATCTAATGGCAACTGACCATGACGATGAGGCACGCTCTATGCACTGATCTGTGATAGAATGGGAAAATATAAAGTAAGTTAAGTTTAAGTCATAAGGTGAGATCAAGGGAGAGAATGTTAGGATTGATCTCCACCAACTTGGCACAACGGTCAATTGGACCCTTGATCCGCGCCATGATCGGGGACGCTCAGCCGTTCTTCTGGCTGATGGCCCCGTTGCACAGTGCAATAAATAGAAGATGGGGTTGGGGCTCGAGACACGAGGTTCGTCGCTCTCACCGTTGTCACCAGACCAGGCCCACACTGCTGCTACTTAGTCAACGACACCATGACCGTGACTAGAGACTCAAGACGAGGTACATCATCATTAAGTTTTCTATCTAAATTAAGTCATTTCCAGCTAGATCTGCACGTAGAGATCCTGCGGATCTCATCAGCCGCATGCGCTGCTGCTGCCAATCGCTTGTCCCGTCCGTCCCCGACCCCGATCCCCATCCATCCCCTGGACCGCTGGAATGAATCGGTCGCTCTATGGGACAGACGCCGCAGAGGCCACCCAACGGCGCCCTGCTGCCTGCCTGCCGCACTGGCTTTTTCCCAGCCTTTTGCCCCCAAATCATTTGGCATCTCGTCACGTCTCGTCGTCCCGGCAGGGCGGCACTGGCCACACTGGGCATGGACGCATGGCAAAGTCACCGACCCATCATCGAATGTTTCACCATGTTTACTCACGCTATTCGTTACTACCACCACACTCGACACGACGAGCGAGCGAGCGACACGGACGATGCATGCGTGTTACACTACTACCGATTACATGGACACGGGTGCTTTCTGCTTCATCCATGGCCGACCATGACTCATGGGCATGGCTGGCTGCTTGAGGTGAGCACTAGAGCTTAGCCTAGCTTCGTTCTAGTACAGTAGAGGATATCGAAGCTACTCGATCGAATTAGAGCAGATCAAGGAGACTAATGAAAAAAGAAAAAAGAAAACAAGAAGGGGGCAAGGTAAGGTAAAGATATGGAAGAACGAGCCTAGAGCTCGAATTTGTATGCACAGTGCCGTGCCTTGCTGCTGCTGATCAGTACACCTTCTTAGAGAAGAAGGTCCGGAGCCCGAAGAGCCCCTGCGGCGGGTTCCCTTCCTCGCCGGCGCCCTCCACGTTGTTCCGGCAGCCGGCGGCTGGCGCGGCCACGCTCGGCGCCGCCTTGTCATCGCTGGCTGCAGCTGCGGCCGCGGCCGCGGTGGGTGCCGAGGCCGGGGCGGGGCTCGCGGCCGCCTTCTTCTTGGCGCTCACCTGCTTCTGCTCGGCGGCGGTTCGCTGCAGCTTGTTGCGCCTCAGCTGCCACACGGCGCTGGGCCGCCCGACGCGGATGCCGCCGGAGCCGGACCCGGCTGCGTTATTATTGTTACGGCCCTGTCCGGGCACCCACCTCCTCAACATGGACGTGGCGCTGGATGTGCCGGCGGCAGCGGGCAATGGCGCCGCCTGCGGCTGCGTGGCCGCGTCGGCGTCTTCTTCTACGGCTGGTGCTTCTGGCGCTGCAATTACAACTGCCACTGCGGTGGCGGTGGGAATGGTTGGCACAGGCCCGGAGGACTCCCCGCGGGAGTTGCTACGGGAGCACGGCGCGCTGCTCACTTTGCGCGGAGCCGGCGCCGGGGTCGGCGGCGCGCTCGGGGTGCTGGCATTGGCGTTGGGGTTGGCGCTCGCACCGGCACTGGCGCTTGCGCCGGCGGCGGCGGCGGCGGCTTTGGGATTTGGATTTGGATTCGGATTGGGCTTGGCCCTGCTCAAGGAGCCGGCACCTGCGCCGGCGGAGCGGCTCCTGGAGAAAGGCCAGATGTTGATGTTAATCAGCTCGGCGTTCCCGCTGACGCTGCTCACGCGCCGCTCCACCTTCTTGCGTTCCTTGGCCTCGCCGCCGGCGCCGGCACCAGCGCCGCCGCCCGCCTTGAAGATGTCCTTCCACTTGAACGTGACAGCGGGGAGGTCCGGGGTCGGCGCGATACCGGACTCCGCGAGCGGCTGCGCGGCCTCCCCTTCCGCCTGCGCTTCAGGCAGCGGGAGCGCCGCGGCGTCCGCGCCCGTGCCCGCGCCCTTCAAGTCCGCCGCCGCGGCGTCGTCTGCGTCGGCTTGAGGCTGAGGCTGAGGCGCGCCGTCGCTGTCCGGGTTGGCCGGCGCCTGGAGGGTGTGGAGCGGGAGCACGACGCCGCCGGAGAAGAGCTCGTCGGCGGTGAGCAGCGCCGGGGACGGGTTCCTGCCCACCATCCAGAACTCGAACTCGGGCGACGCGACGTGGGACGGCGAGGACCTCCCGGACTCGCACTCCGGTACTGGGGGAGGAGGAGGAAGCGCCCCCAGGGCGTCCGCCATTGCCGCTGCGGTAAAGAACACCCGCGACGGCACTAGCTGGCGGCGGCCTGTGCTTGCTCTGGCCGCGTCTCGGATCTGGGCGGCGGCGGCGGCGCCAATGGGAGACGGGTTCAGCAGGATGCCATGAACTCACTCACGCAGAGGATGCCATGGACTGTGTCTGTGCGTGAGGCCGGCTGTGAGCAGTGCTTGGCGAGCCGTGCGGGGCAGAGAAGGGAGAGGAGGCGTGGGCAGTGCGACTTGACGCGTTATTTATCAATCACATCAAGGTGGCGGCCCTGGGAGTGGGAGGTGGGGGTGATGGTGGTGTGGCAGTGCCAGCCGTTGTGGCTCAGGCTCAGCTCGGCTGCCGCTGCCGCTGATCTCCGCCTCGCCTGTCGCGAAACGCAGCGTTGCATATGCGCTCTGAAATCTTTGTCTGGTGACGCGCGCCCCCTCCCCTCTCTCTTTATTCGCTCGTTTCTGGGGACGGCCGCCCCCACCACCACGTTTACCTGCCTTGCCTTGCTGCTGCTCTCTCTCTCTCTCTCTCTCTCTCTCTCTCAGCGCGAAGGGAGTAGTGAAGTCAAGCGTCCGGCGAGCGAGCGAGATCGGTGCCGTTAAGCAACTGCTCTGTTCACATCCACATCCGGAGGTAGAGCAAGCCAGGCCAGGCAGGCCGCAGGCACCATCACATGTCCGTACTGAACGCACTGTTGAGATAAACCAACCCTACCCTACCCAGGCTACCCAGCCATGTCGCAGTCTCCAGTGGGAAACGAGCTCGCACGAAGTGTGTTCGTTATCAGGTGGCGCGGAACAGCGCGCGCGGCCGCTGCCCGCCCCCAGCCACAGGCTCGTGCCGTAACGACGCAGCTACAGTGATGCCCCGCCGGCATGCCCCCTCCTCCTCCTGTCCGTGTCCAGCGCGCACACTCCACGCCGCCGCCTGTTCGATTAGTCAGCCCGTCCACCGAGCCGGCGTCGACGTTCTGCTGCCACGGCCGTCGTCGCCGGCTCCGACCCAATCCCAATAATACGGCGCGTACGTACGCCGGCGTGCCGGTGGGCTCCGGCTGCGTCCGGGACCACGCATATGCGGGGTCGTTGCGTCGGTTGTCGCAGCTATGCGTGTGCGTGCTCGATCGATATATCGCCGAGTGGTTGCGTGCGCTCCTGAAACGAAACGGGACGGGAAGCAACAGGGAAGCCCGTCGGCCCGTGGACTGATCAGAGCAGACACAGGGGTGTGTAGAGGCCTAGAGGGAGGTGGACATACTCTACTGCAGTTCGTTGCCGGCCGGCCGGAATGAATGGAATCGGCCAGGATGGTGCGCTTGCACCGGAAAGGAGGAGGACGAGGAGCGGCCGGCGGGCCGGCCGGATCACGTGGTGGCGCCCATGCAGCTAGCCTGACCCAGCCAGATTAACCAACCACCGATCAATCATGCGTGTTCATGTTCTGTTCCTCCGGTCTAGGTAGAGAGTAGCTGAAAGGCGCCTGCATCGGATGCCCAGCCCAGCCCAACTGTCTAGCAATGCAAGCTCTCTTAACTCCCACCAGTCACCACCACTGGGGACGTGGCCAATGGCGCATAACTACCATGCAACGCAACCGCTGCTGCCGGGTCATGAGCTGATGACTGTAGTACACGCCCTTTTGCCCTTGGATCTTTGTCCCCTCCGTATCTGCACAGCACAGACTGCGTGCAGTAGTAGCAGTGTATTCACCATTCACCAAGTTGTGATTTCACAAGGTAACAGAAGCAGAGGTGAGCTACCGCTACCACTTGCTGTGGAAGCTGGGTGCTACAGCTGCGCTATGCCCCGCGCCCCCGCCCGACCTTGCTGCCGAGATCTCGTGTCTGTCGGACCACAAAACGCAAAGGGCCCTGCACCTCTCACATGCAGGCCGGACGCGTCGGTTGGCTGGGCCCATGCATGCCGACGGCGCCTAGCTCGGGCAGTGCAGGCCGCCGCCGCCCGAGGCGCCCGCGCGCGGGCGTGGCCGCGAAGGCGAGCCAGTGCTGTGAGGTTGCTATCGGATGCCGTTCGTCCAGGCTTTGGCGCAGCAAGGCAGGCAAAGGCAAAGGCAAAGCACGTCGTCAGTACGAGCACGGTTCGCGGCGCCGGGCACCGGGCAGGGGCAGGGGCAGGCGCACGGCACGGATGCGGGATGCCTGCTGCGGTGGCCGGTGTGGCCGCAGCAAGTCGGGTTGCTTTCGGCCTAGTCGATGATTCCATTCCGTACGGGCTCGTGTCAGCTGGAGTATCTTTTCTTTGGAGGGGAAGGGGATCGTGTTCGTGTCAGCTCTCTTACCATCTTCTGCCTCGGCGCCATGGAATTCCGTGTCGGCCTCGTCGATCCATCCTTTTGCTTCCGTCTTGGGTCCCACATGGGCCCTCTGTTTTGTACCCTGGAGGCCCGGAAGGACGGACTTCGCTGGCGGTCTTCTTCAAGCCCCAAAGTTTTGTTCATGGGCCGTACTTGCTACGAGGTATCCTGACCATATGGGCCTAATTCGCGCCAGAAATTTCTTGCCATAGGTGGACCACCATGCTTGGTCATGTTTGGGCCCTCCTATCCGTCAGCCCATACTCATGCAAGGCAAGAGTACATGCGTACAGCCTGTTTCGATCCTAAATGACATTATCGGGCAGATGATTACATTTACAGCCGAAGAAAGCAATATTGAGATGCATATTCAGAACAAGAAGCACAGAGTTCCTGTACCACAGGAAATACTTCCGCTGATGGCAATGCAATGCATCCATAGCCTCCATCCACACATTCCACGGTTCCACCACATGGGTAACGACTCATACAGTAATGATGATCTCAGGTAGCACTGCAAGAGCATAGATACCAGCCATTGCCTACACAAGCCCATCAAATAATGTTCAGTTTGCACGCTGACCCCAACAAAACAAACAGTGGAGTGGAATTTAACAACAGATTGCAACGAATGAACTTGTTAACATCATGTACCACACCAACTTTGCTCCTCGACCAAACACAACATATAGAGGATTAGAGGCCAAGTAGGTGTGCACACACTACATACTATCCCTCAACAAGAAATCCACTCCAACATTGTTCCTGTTTTGTTAATTATTAGGCGATGGTGGTGCAGATTGCAGAAAGCTAACAGGTACCGTGCTACTACCAACTTACCAAGTCACCATACACTACAATTGCATATATTAACTACAAGATGCCCCTCATTGGCTTATTTCTCAGATGCTAGGAGCTTGGTGCTAAGGTCACTGTCCCTTCCTGTTGTCCTCTTGGTCGCATAGAGCTCAACATACACCTTCTTCATCTTGGGTGTCTTCATCTTGGGTGTCCCAAGCGGTGATGATTTTTAGTCCCACAGATGTAGACTATGCAGACAGGTGACAGGATAACAACTTTAGTCCCTGGCCAACCGGGAAAAAATGCCCCAGGCTAATGCTAAATTGGGACATCGTTCTAAAGTCTCATTTACCATATGCAGACGGTGACAGGATAACACCAGTTGTCAGAGACCATTACCATCACCACCACGATGCCAACGTAAAACAGTAGGTAAACAACGAAAAATATCCTGCATGGTAGAGACAAACAGTAAGAGTAAAAGATAAGGCAGCAGGCAAACAAATAATGTGCTAGCTCCTCTATGCACGAAAGAAAGATGAAAATAATGAAATAGGACAATACTTGGTGCAAAAAGTAAACTGTGATATCATAATAACTTAATCTAAATCTATAATTCAATTATAAGAAGTCAACAGTCTATATCTTTTATAAAGCAAACCCCCCTATAAAGTCTATCTAATCTCACAATGATCCACGTCATCAGCTAATAGAAACCGTCCAAATTTATATCGCGAGCCAAACCCATCATGCGTCGGTCCATTGTGCATGCACACTCCCTGCCGCTTTGTATGCCCCTCAGAATTCCATTCGATCAGGCAATACTGCAATAAACAAACAACTACAATATTTCTCTTCCTCTCCCTCACCATACTTCTCCTTGCAGGATAAGAATGGCCCTTGTAGTAACCGATCCCATGAATCTTATGTAAATAGTGAGTGGGGGAGCTCCACACGATGGTGTTGGTGTTGAAGAAAAAACATCAACAACAACATGTGGCTAGGATCAAGAGCAACCATCAGAACACGTTCTATATCCTTCCAAGCAGACATGTTGAATCTCCAAACCAGTCGGAGAACCAACAATGAAACCAAGGTTGTCCTTTGATTTGGCTGAAAAAGTTTCTTTTGATGGAATGCTTTTCGTAGTCTCTTTTTTTTTTTTTCTCGAAAAATGCAAGAGAGCTGCGCATTATTATATTAAGAAGTGAAAAAAGGGAAAGAACCCAAACAACACACCCCAGGCTAGCCAAAAGGCATGCCCACACACTTACACCAACTCACGCTAACTCACACAAAAGCCTCTTTTTCTTTCCCAAGCTCACTCTCTTGATAAGCATCAACAATAGTTGACTACAACTCCTACTGATATCTTTCATTAGGTTATGCACAAAGTTGATGCTATCAGTGAGACTTTGACTGAGTGTCTTATTAATATGGATGAAAATCTTCAGCACATGGAGCAACGATTGGCAAATATTGATAAGGCTGTTGTTCAAGAAGAACTAGACCACTTATATATTGTCCCACGAACTTGATCTATTTGATGAAATGCCAAGAGTGAACACTGCAATGATGACACAGCTACCATCTCCGTGCCCTCAAATGCTCAATTATGTGTCGCTCTCTTGCAATTGGTTATTCTGCTGTTGTCAGTGTTGAGTAGATAACTATGTGGAACTTTCATGCCAGCAAAGTTTGGCTTAGATCAAACCAATATCCTCTTGGTGTCACCCATGTGCTTCATGAAATGGCCAGGAAGGCTAGCATTAGTGGACATATTGTTCATAGGCTGGCCTATGGCAGTCTGGTTTGGGACATCTATGATGCAAGAGACAGAACAAGTGATGCATGTCCACCACATGACAAGGTGTGGTGGAGGCAA